TTTTTCTAAAGAATAAAAGTATGTAGAAATGAATAATACACATTGGTATGGATTTTGGTTTAATGATGCAAATTTAAGATCAATTTGTCATATATGTATATGACAATATATACACATATATACATATATTCCTACTCTTATTTAGGTATTGTAATTATACAGCTCATTTAAAATTGTAACATATATTTAAATACAGATTTTAAATAGTCAAAACTTATAGCTATAATACTTACATATATTTCAAATGAATAAATATTCTTCAAAACCTTTCAAAGACCTACAGAATATGGCATCTAAAATATTTATTAGGGTTTTCCTTGACAATGAGACAAAACTGCTCTTAGCAACTCCAGTATCATTAGAGAGGAAGATGGGCATAGAAGAAACTTCAACATGTCAGAAATATACATTAGGACAAGAAATTGCTCTTGCCTGGACTGCCTGACATCACATTGTGAAAATGGAAAAGCAGTTCAAAAAGAAATTCAGTGCAGAACTTGCTAAGAGACAAAATGTTCCTTCAGGGCTCCTGCTTTACAGAGGAAAGCATCTTATGAACTTTGTCAATACAACAACAAACAGACCTTTAAATTTCTTAGTTCATTAAAAAGTCTGCCAGATACGATACCTCAATGTTGTAAAAGAAACTTGGGTGACTGTCCAGGCAGGGAGGTGTCTCTGTCAATTCTTGAATTTTTATGTTATCCTTCTGAATTTATTGATGGAGGTAGAGACAGAAAGTCATGGTTATGGTTTTCCTTAGTAGTGATAAAAGATAAGTAATATCTAAAACTATACACACAAAGATAGGATAGATGATGAAATATTTTTAAAAAAATTTCCAAGTATAAAAGGACTAAATAAGGTTAGCTATAATTTTTCCTTAATAAGTGTTTTGCTTTATATAAATTTACTAGGTAAATGTTAAAACCTTCCTTTTTATTTAGAAAGAAAAGAGGAGATGATGGGGGATGTCCTTCTGTATGCTTGAATATATTTTTCCCTTATTGGTTGATGAATAAATGCTGATTGGCCATTAACTAGGCAGAAGTATAGGTGAGGCTACTAGACTAGGAGAATTCTGGGAAAGGTAGGAAAATAGTTGATAGATACTGAGGGAGCAAAATGGTTGAGCTTCCCTGGCAAGCCTAGACAAATTGGAGATACATAGATTAATACAAATGAGCAAATACTTAAGAGACAGCTAGCCAATATGAAGCCTGATCCATCAGACAAAGTGTTCATAAATAATATGAGCCTCTCTCTATATTTTTACCTCAATGGCTGCTGAACCAGGTTAGGCAGAAACTCTGTCTTCAGCTGGTAACTAAACAATAGCCTCCAATGAACTATTTATAATATTTTGTGGGTGGGAGTGAAATAGATAAAAAAATATATGCAGTCCTTGGCCATGGTTTATTTTAATTGCAATGTTTTATAGTTTTTATTTTTAATTTGCTGTAACAGATACTGAGGATAATGATAAAAGAATGTTAAGAGGTGGAAGATAAAAATAAACAATGCAATATACCTTTTTGCCATTGAAAATGAAAACAAGCATGAATGTTTATATGTGCATTAGAAACCAGTGATACTTATATAAAACTTAATCTTTTATGAAATATTTTACCTATTGTACTTGAAATATACATGTAAATTAATGAAATTAAGCATGAAAAATCTAAATATCTCACATATTTGCATAAGACTTTTCTCCTCCTTATGGGAGGTGGAATGAATACAGGGCCTCAAAAGGTAGGGAAATCATAACATAATCAAAGTACTAATGAGCAAAATAAGAATTACTAAAGTTACCATAATTATGGAGATAGAATTATACTATAGTGCTATTATAATTATGTAAAGATACTGCCAAGCAAGAGACCAAAAGACATCCAGACTAAAGAAATGGAAAAATCATATAAAAGCTTAATTAGCTATCTGAGACACTTAAAAAATGAGATGACATGAACTATTTAAAAAGTCAGCATCTTTAACATATGCTTCTTAGAAATCTGTAGAGTTCTTTTTGAATAATGAATCTATAAATTTTTATAAATTTTCACTCATATTGCAACACTGTTCATGTTAAATATGACAATTTGAAGTTTTATAACAAAAGATTGAAAATAGTTCAAGATGTAGGTATAGGCAGATTCTAGGAGTCCATGAAGGAATAGCAAGTGCTGACAAGTTAGACCTTCCAGTCACCAAGCCTCTATGCTGAAAGACAACATCAGAATAAAGAGAAAGTCTATAGAGTCAGAGATGTGACCATATAGTCACAAAGTATGACAATCAGCACAGTAAAAAGACAGCCCATAGAATGACAGGAAATGGTTTCCAGGTTTCCATCTAAGAGGAAATTAAAGATCAGTAAAAGAATGAATAATAAAGTGAATTGGGTAACAAATTAACATTATAAATACCACTCAAGCTATTGTATTTACACATGACCAATAAATAACTGGTCACACAAAATTATTGAATGCCATAAGTTATTTGGTTAAAGTAAATGAAATTCTTATTGAGTTTCCATTTCAAGCAAGTTTCTTCACAAGTGAATGATGAAGATAATGTTTTGAAAGGGGCATAATCATGTATTACGGGAGTATGACAGATTTAGTTCAACCACTATGGAAAGCATGTGACTGTTCCTTTAAGAAAGCAAAAATAGAACTACTATATGATTCAGTTGTCCATCCATGGATACATAGACAAAATTCTCTAAATCTAAATGCCTAAGAAATAGGTGGATTGCTATGTTTATTCTTGTAATATCACAATAAACAAGTTATGAAACCAAACTCTATGACCATCATTAAATCAATTAATAAAGAGAATGTAGTATAACTATATATATATATATATATACAATATAAACATTTGAAACAAAGAGTTAAATTATATCATTTTCAGAAAAGTGGGACATCATAGGAATTGAAATAGACCAAAGATAGCAAGATAATTGTCATAATTTTTCAGATATGTAAAATTCAGAAAAAAAGAGTACATAGGATTAATAGAATTAGATGTTGAAGTAGAAGTTAGATGTGGAAAATTAAGAATGTTAGTGGACTGGTGGATCTTATGATAATCCATTATAAGCTTACATGAAAAAGAAAATGACACAGATTATTTTTCAACTAATAACACTGATAATAGTTACATGATATCTTACAAACTAAATGTTAAGCATTCTTTGTTTTAGAATATAACCTTAAAACATAATCCTAGATAAACACATAAGCAGGCACACACACATTCTTACTAATAATGAAAATATTGATCCACATTTATTCGGTATAATTTAAACAAAATTATAATATTAATTGTAAAGTAAGTATTCTATGTAATGGTACTTTCATAAAAATAACTGTAAATGTAAAATTATAAAAGTATGGAAACAACTTGAAATAATCTTTCTGTATACATGCATTTTGACATGTGATTTTATATCTCTGAATGCTTATTTATTATTAGCTCATAAATTTGATATGCCCCAATAGTAAACATATCCTATAAGCCCCTGTTAACAGTGAAAAATATGTAAAAGAATGCTCATGTCTAACATATCACAAAGGGAGCTCTATTTAGAAAAGCTGTCTTATTCAGGGAAGTTAAAGAATACTGTAGCCTGGTTCATTCTCACAAAGCACTATACATAAAGGGCAGCGTTATACTTATCAGTTCAAGAAGTACTCCAATAATGTCGATGTGTATTTACTTAGAGAAAAGACATAGTGCTCTGCTTGAATTTCACAGAACAATGACTATATCCTTTCCTGATTAATGCAAGTAATTTAATTATATTTCATATTCGTCTACATATTTTGATAGTGTTATCATTGTGTTAAAGAAGTTGACATGCTTTAATAATAAAATAAAAAATAGTATATAGAATTTTTCAGACCGTTTAGCTGCATTATGATGAAGGCAGAAACCTGTGACATTTGCTTGCCTGTTTTTTATGTAAGTTTTTCATTTCCACACAAATATAAGTTTTTAATTCTTCACGTAAAAAAATTACTTCCACCATTTTAAGATTTCATAATAAAATGATATATTCTTGCTTAAATTTGCATTTTGGAATAAAGATTTTATTAAATTACATAGGCATTGATTAATCATAAACATAGTATTGATATGAAATTTAAATTAATGATTTTTATTGTAGTAATGAATACATTCTAAAAGCTCATGTATAAATGGAACCAAACATTTTATATATTTTTTAATATTGTATATTTTATAACTACCTTTTTTGCTTATTTTAGGTTTTTATTAAAACCCTAAATGATATATTAAATTGATAACTAGGGTTGATAGAATTGATTCATAATATACGAGATAACTTCTTTATTTTCTTAATTTTGATTTGCTATTTTTCGGCTGGATAGGTTATTTTTGCCTAACATTTATTTTGAGATATATAAATGTCTTTCAAAATATATATATATATGCAAAAATGTATCTATCTCCCTCGATGTCTTAATATTTATATGAAACATATTATTTACTATTTAAATCCTGTCACATTAGTTTTTAAAGAAAATGAAAGGAAGACTGTTAGTCTTCAAATAAACAGTGCTATTGAAACATGCAGAAAATCCCATTCCAAAATTTTAAATATTTATTTTACATAGGAATATATTTCTCATGATTTGAAGGAACACACCATCATTATCCATATTCACAATGCAAAAATGCAAATGCATGACAATTTAAGATAAAGTGCAGTCTTATCTCTTCATAGAAGAAACCTGTTTCTAATCTCCTACTATTTCATCATTTCCCTGAATTTTTATTAAGATAATATAAATTTCTTCTTCTGTGTATTTTTCTATCAAATGTCGAACACATTTATTTGTTTCACTTATTTCTACATTGCTTTTGCATTATCAAATGCCAACTTGCCAAAATTTTTCAACTACTTACCAACTTATTCTAATAAATGCTTATTATTTATATTTCAGTCTATGTCAGATCATCCGTCTTACCTGCTCAAATTGAAATCCCAGGTCAACTGAAAAAATGAAAACCGCACCTTAGAAGCAGTTATCGGAGGAAGAAGAAAAAGATATTCTAAATTAACTTTACACGTTTCTCAGAAAAATCTCCACATCTCAATGTGCTCTGTGTTTGGTATGCTGCGACTTTAATAGCACAACATTGTATGTCATTGCTTACTCCTGCTATTTCGGGTTCTCTAACTAGAACCAGGAACACTGAGTCTTTTGTGCAAAATACCATGAGGGCATTCTGATGGCCGTTGTTAGTCTGAGGTTAAATTGGAGACAGCAAAACAAGTAGTACCAGCACAGCTTTTCTGTCTGTCCGTCATTTTTTTCTCTCTCTCTCTCTCTCTCTCTCTCTCTCTCTCTCTCTCTCTCTCTCTCTCTCTCTCTCTCTCTCTCTCTCTCTCTCTCTCTCTCTCTCTCTCTCTCTCTCTCTCTCTCTCTCTCTCTCTCTCCCTTCCTTCTTTCCTCTCTCTCTTTCTTTCTCTCCCTCTTTATCTCTGTTTACCTTGCTCTCCTATTTGCAAACAACAAGTAAAAAAAAAAACTAACTTGAAACCACAAGAAGGGGACTTAAAATTACTGATATGAGCTTTATTATTTATTATGGAATCAGCATGCATTTACAAGTTGCCTGTGCATGTTATTTACAATTAAAATTATTTTGAGCAAATGAGGAGAGCTAATATTGCATAAACATTGTCTAAAACGTAAATACTTTTTTTTTGTTTTTCGAGACAGGGTTTCTCTGTGGCTTTGGAGGCTGTCCTGGAACTAGCTCTTGTAGAGGCTGGCCTCGAACTCACAGAGATCCTCCTGCCTCTGCCTCCCAAGTGCTGGGATTAAAGGCGTGCGCCACCAACGCCCGGTGAATGTAAATAATTTTGATGAAATTATTTTGAACCTTGAATATGTGAGTGTTTATATACGTGTAAGGAAACAGACTTCAATTTCTGGAATAAAAATGAGACATGAAAAATCTGTGTTGCATTCAAGTTCATTTTTACAGTAACCATGAGGATACATCAGCAACTGGAATAGAACATAACTCGTAACTTCCTAGTGCAAGATTATATTCTGGTCAATTTATGCTTTCATATTGGAATGTAAAATAAAATTCATTATTTCAAGTAGTCAAAAACTTTCATGTGACTTTATAACATGAAGCTTGTTTGAATTCTGTGCACTTATGCACATAATAGTAATTATGTACTTATTTATTACCATGGATTTTTATGAATAATGCCTTATGTGTTGCAGGCATTATTGAAAATCTATACTCAAAATCAACTGAATGATGACTTACTGTTTTCTAAATTTTAGCTGAATAAATTTTCAAAGCAATGGTAGTCTAAACTGTATATGTGCATTTATGTATATTCACATGAAAGCACTTTATTTTTAATATATAATTGAATATGTATCAACATAGAGGTCCTTAGTTTTACTAATCACATTATTTAAAAATCTTTCCTGAGGCAGCACACTCAAAATTAAGGATTCTCTTTGTTCTTTCTGCCTAAAAAAATTCAAAATGTCTGTGACCATTCCAGTTTTTCCCTTCCACAATGAAATCCAAATCTCTAGCATCTGATGTTTGTCATGCATCTTCTCTGTGTGGGGAACTGTTTTTGTTGTTGTTGTTAACTGTTGGTTGGTTGTTGTTTTTTTTTGTTTGTTTTTGGTTTTTGATCCTGGGTGTCCTTGAGATTGCTTCCTATGAATAACCCTATGACAGAAGGAACAATTTCTGGGATGAACAGTTGTTTTCCTTTTTCTTGGCTAACCTGCAGTCACAAAACTGGTTTTAGAGATTTTAAAAATGATTAATAGTTAGAATGCTGATACATTTTATGATGGTGAGATCAGAAAATACAGCCATGAATCTATTTACCAATGCCCCTCAATAATCTCTTTACTTTGAATTTGTAGCTATGATGCCCACAAAACAATCTCTTGAATCCTCAGTGTGTTTCTTTTGTCTGAGACTCTGGCCAATGTTTCTGGCATTCTGAACACACTAGGAAAAACGAAATGACTACAGTCATTAAAAAAAGCGAAGACTAAGAGAATTTAGAACAAAATATTACAATTCTTCTTCTGAGAACTATTCACATATTTCTTCACATTGTATGTAATGTATACAAAAATGTCATGTGAGCAGTAGTATTGGCATCACCAAGTATCATGTTTATAACCACTATTATCCTTGCTAAACTTTTCTGCTTAATATAAACTCCAATGTGCACGTAATTAAATACCACACTTCGGCCAGGCGTTGGTGGCACACGCCTTTAATCCCAGCACTCGGGAGGCAGAGGCAGGCAGATCTCTGTGAGTTCGAGACCAGCCGGGACTACCAAGCGAGTTCCAGGACAGCCTCCAAAGCCACAGAGAAACCCTGTCTCGAAAAAGAAAAAAAAAAAACAAAAAACTAAAAAAATAAATAACACACTTCAAATCTTTCAAAGACAGAAAGTGAAAGAAAGCTGACACACAATTATGGGAGTCAGACTTATATTGCTTCCTTTGGAGCTGCACTCTTGTACACCAAACTCATTGACTTTAAAAACTACGGAATTCGACATTCATTTCAAACCTCATCCATATTGCTGCAACCTTTTGTTTTGGGGTGTATTCCACTGCTTTCTTTAGTAAGAGGTTCCACTGACAGTATAGATTATAGATATCAAGAAAAATGAAATTAAATTCAAAATCATTATCAGTGATATATACACCAGATTAAGCTCTGCAGGTTACAAATGTATAAAAGCTACCAGACTTTCATACAAGGAAATGTTGTGCACATTGGTTTAAAGATGTAATGAAGCATGACTGATGAGTCACTTATTTTTTCTTTTTCAACCTTGCTCCTTGTTTTTTCTGATTCGCCTTAGCTTGGAAATTGACTCAAATTTTTAAATTTTGAGATCGTCATCTGTTAATTCAGAAGAATGTAACATACAACCTCCCTCATTGCTTGCATTGGGTGCAGTGTAGGTGTCTAACTAGGCATGATATTTTCACTTTAATTACAGTGATTTTTGTTCTTTGACATCTATTTTGGTCATTTTCCATCCATTTATCCCCATTCTCTTCATGTATAGTGTCTTTGCTCTGGCCATTTCTAAACATCTTTCAAATACCAATTAAATGTTACCCAACATCCAGATACTAGTCCTTAACAATTTAATTGTTTTTTAATTCTTCTAAATCTAAAGTGGCATTTTCTGCAATATTTTTATTAAAGGTCAAATGTAGTATGATCTAAATATAAGAAATTTCATTAAAAATCTCAATAGTACAGTTTTATTTACTATAATTCAATTTTCTCACAAAACAAAGGCAAGCTTTAAATGTTGTACTGTAAAGTACAGAACCAAATTTACTCAGTTATCTAAGAACTTGATTTAACCTTCAGAATGATCAAACAAGCATTTAAGTGGGGTCCAAAAATGCCATGCATAATTAGGACAAATAAATATGTTTAAAAATTAAATGTAAAATTAGTTACACTATGTTATATTCATACATATGTAATTATAGCTATTCTCCTTTGCATGTCCCTCTAACTTTGGGCCACCAGTGTTCACACCACTGTGTCACTACGTGCTAGCCCCTTTCTGACATCAATATATCTCTCTACCTTTACATAACATTTATTTCTTCACCATTGTTCTCATTAATCCCAATTGTTCTTATTTAAATCTCATTTCCCCCAGTTATGAATCTCATTTAATTTTATTAATATAGGAATGTATAGACTCATCTGCTTTTTTCTGCAAACAACATTTTTCATCATGAATTCATTACATTGTATTCTATGTAATACCTATGTGGTTGGTTGTAAATATATGTTTGGATATTCATCATTTAATGGGATTCTAAGCTGTTTCAATTTCTAGATTTTTTATTGGAGCCAGAAACATAGATTTTTAAAGACAATTTCAAGTTGGCCAATAGGGAAGCAAGATAGGTGGAAATAGGAGTCGAGGAGAATTCTGGGAAAAGAGGCACAGTGAATCACGATGTAGGACACCAGATGAGTAAGAGGTCCAGCCCCTTTATCCAGTAAGAGAAGACCAAGTGGAAATACTCAGATTAGCCATTATAGGTTAATAATTAAGTCAGAGCCAGGTGATAAGAAACCAATCAAATGGTGAAGAGCTTCATAATTAAAATAGCCTCCTGTGTTTTCATTTGGGCCTGTCATGGTTCTGTGACCAGGTAAGTGGGAAAGAATACACTTTTCAAGATGGAGTCTCAAAGGAGCTTTAATCTGAATTTCCAAAATGTTAAAATGTTGATTTTTTTATATTTTTTTATTTTTAAATTTAAATTTAAATTAGAAACAAGATTGCTTCACTTGTCAATTCCAGTTCCATCTCTGTTTCCCTCTCCTCCTCCAGTGCCCTCCCACCAATCCCCCCAATATCCCCTCAGATCCCTAGAGAGGGTGAGGCCCTCCATGCGGGTGTCCATAGTCTGTCATTTCATCTAGGGCAGGGCCTAGAACCTCCCCAAGCGTTCAGGGTGAGAGTGCATCTCACATTTTGGATGGGAGTCCAAAGACGATTTGTATACCCGGGATAAATACTGATCTACTACCCAAGGCTCAATAGATTACATAGGGCTCCTCACTGACACCCACATTCAGGGGGTCTTGATCAGTCCCATGCTGTATTCCCAGGCATCAGTCAGGTCAGCTGTTTCTGGGGGTTAAACCATCCCAGTCTTAATCCCTTTGGTCATCTGGCCTCCCTCTCTGTCACTGGATTTCTTGAGTTCAGCTCAGTGCTTAGCCATGGGAGTCTGCCTCACATATTCATTGTCCCTTTTTATTTCTTCCTTAGAAAACTGTCTATTTCCTCATAGGGGATTTATTGATTAAAATATTTGCTTGCATTACTATGTGGTTTATTTAATATTATTTTACATTCTAGATATTAATGCTGTGTGTGAAGTGTATGTTGGAAAGATTTATTTCATTCATTAGACTGCCTCAGAGCTCTGCTTATATTTTCCTATGTAGTTAGGATGCTTTTAAACTTAATTTTAGTGTTTTTATCATTTCACTATATTATTCATTGCCCTGTTGGAGTAATGTAAATACATGTTTTTATTATTTTGAAAAATTAGCGGCTAAGAGATGTTCTCCCTGAGAAGTACTATCATTGTACATGAGAAGACATTATCACACATTCAAAGAACCAATTAAAAAGTATGATAGGCATGGTAGACTGACTTATAATCC